CGCCGCTCCCCGGGCGTGCTCGGCACCCACACTAAGAGGGAAAGGTCGCTACAACGGACGCTCCTGCCCGCTTCCGAGAAGCACCGGAGGTTTAAGTGATGCTTAACAGAAAACCACAGGTTGTTGGGGAAGCCCGAGAATGGAAAGAGGAGATCTCATTTGCAACAGATTTTATACCATTTCAAATCTCTGATTATCCCCGCTAAATGACCTGAATTATCCAGCTAAATGACCTGAACTTCTGCCCCTGCTCTGACCAGGCTCCACTGTAGGAGGGAAAGGCCATGAAGACTTTCCTCTTCAACTGCTGCTCCAGGTTCCCTGCTCAATACCAAGGCCCAATTCTGCACAGACAGCATGATTTCAAAACAAACGTTTTCAAAACAAACATGGTTTGAATGCAGAGCAGCGAGGAACTGAGGCAGGAGTTAATTAGGAACATAGGAAAAGACAGAGAGGATGGGGAGACCCGAGATTGACACAGGCTGAAGTTGGAGGCAGAATTCTGCTCCAAGTATTCGCTGCTCTGCTGTGATTAATTACCTCCAAATACTTGTGACAGTGTGCACTGCAGCAAACAGGGAAGAAAAGTGACAAAATCTGATCATGTAATTAAAGACTGTTATAATTAACATACACAAAAAGAATAAGCAGGCTGCACACATAGTCTTCAAAATAGTATTGACTCGCTTGTCAGGGTTGTCCTTGCAGCTTAATGCTCTGCTGTATTTTTCAGTATTTTAATAAACAAAATTAATAAAGTTCCTGTGTCTAGAAAGCCCTATCAGCCTTTGGCACTGTACAAAGGACAGAGCCCTTGCCCAGAGATTTTACAGTTCCCAAGTTTTATTTCAACAGCACACAGTTTAAAGTTTATGCCTCAAACACAGCTTCCCACTCCACCTTCCTCTTTACTACATAGGAGGTAAAGCTTTTCCTACCAGAAATACCAAGTTCTACATTAATACAAAGAGGTTTTTTCAAGACTTGAGGTGCCTGAAATATCACAAGTTCTGTGCCAAACCATTCCTGCAGT